CATCCTATATATATATATATATATATATATATATATATATATATATATATCTTTTTTGTCTGTTGTCATCACTCTTTCTTATAATCAGGTCTCTCTTGTAAATGAGCCCCCCGAGACTCAGTGGGATTAATCTGTATAAAGGTTGAATGAATGAATGAATTGGATGACATATAAAACTGACCCCAAATTAGAGCAAACAGCTCAAATGCTTTTTGAAACCACCCGTTTTGTCCATCAGTCAATCAGGGTGGTCTATTTTGATTACAATTAATTTCCTTTGCTGACAAAGTTCACTGAAGCACATTTAAAAGATTTTTTAAATAACTTTGATTCAGCGGACACTTCAGGCATACAACGTGCAGTTTTTTTACTCATTACCAGTGGTGGGCACAGTTCGCTAATTCGCTAACGGCTAATAGCAGGAATTATGTTTTTAGTGGATTAGCATTTTCAATAACTTTCAAATTTCCAAAGCTAGCAAAAATGCTAATTGTTAGCTGAATTAGCTTTCACTAAATTAGGTTTTGCCAACTTTTATATCTGCTAACAAAATTCACAAGCTTGTTCCTGTCTGTTGTGGGCGTGTCTCAAAGAGTCTGCTAGGCATGCTAAAAGCTACGTGTACATGCGACAAGACGTGATTGACGCAACTTCTTTTAGAAGGAGACGATGATGTTTGACACAGTCTGAGTGCCAGTTGTCTTAGCAGTTAATGGTTTAGAGTTAGCTGCTATTTTTTTTTTTTACCTGCTTAGCGATTTAGCATTAGCAAAGCTAATTTTTTTAGTTAGCAGAATATGGGTTAGCAAAGCTAACTTTTTGGTTAGCTGTGCCCACCACTGCTTATTACAAAGGACACCATTTGGTCACCTGTCACCTCAATGAGACCCCCAATGATTATTATCACACTCCATACCTACGCAGCTGATCTTCACCCACTGCTGTCTGACTGGCAGATCCTACAGCAACTGCCTGATAACACTATCATTCCATGTCATACATAGCCAGCTCCTTGCAAACCAAAATCATTTACGCACCCCATCATTGTCTGTATGTGTACCAAATTACTTCTAAATCAAACAGTTCTCTCGGGGTACCTAACTTTTTTTGCCATTTAGTGTAAAAGCTCATGTAGCATAGCACAAATACCTTTTTACTTTGTCTCAAATAAGAAGCCAAAGAAAGCTTCTGTTGCAGTACGTGTCTGTTTCTGCTCGAGGCAGCTTAGGAGAGTTAAATTTATCCCAAGGACAGATGGAGCACAAACACCACACTTTGTTTTTTCAACCAGAGGACTAAGTTCTGACAGTATTTCAACATGAAGACTTAATTTTATACTTCCAGGAGACTGAAGCTCTGACTGTGACTTCTCATCGCCGGCACAAGATCTCTGCTCGTCCACCTTCTCCGTCAGAGACACTATCGAATCAAACTCCTCCGTGTCTTTGAGAGAAATGCAAAACAATTTGATAAAACAACATTTAGTGGTAGAAGGGCCAAAAATGCAAGCTGCACGCTGATGTCATCCGTCACTGAGGGGTTTGAATAGTGAATGTGTGTAGTTTTTGAACAGAGGTACTTTATTTTATTTTTATGTCTGAGGCTTGCAGAGATGGAACAATTATGCACCACACCAGGTGCAATGGTGGCCTTATCCCCATAGAATAATCTTTAGCCACCTCAAGGGCCATGCCAATCATATGAGGAAAATATACTTTTAAACAATATAAAACGTGGCAGCCACGCTCCAGAATGGAAGTCAGTACCTCACTTATTTTTTTATTTTTCATGCTCACATGCATGGATGGATGGACAAACAAACTGAGTCCATTTCCAATTCCTCTTTTTCGCTCCACGACGGGGGACAACAAACGATGTCTGAATTTTCACACATAAATCTTCCATTCTTTGATTTTAATGCCATCATTAATCGTTCAAACATCAGAGCATTTCAGCAAAGCTTACCAGGGATGAGCGCTGAGCTGTAGTTGCCCATCAACAAGAAAGGGATGCAGACAATGAAAAACAGAAGAAAAACTGCAGATTCTCTACCATTGCATCTATAAATGAAAGATGGGAGAGGGTCAACAGCAGAAACCATCAGAAAGTTGCCAGAATCCGAGTCTGATCAGGAACTATACCTGTAACCCCGTCAGAGTAGGAGAAATAAATGTGTTACAGCAAAGGCAGCTGTTTCGCTCATGCCACAGAAGGCAACTGTGCACACACACACACACACAATGATCCTACTGCAGACAAAATGAGCACGGCGACAGAGAACATTAGTAATAGTTGCAAATTGTTCATCAGATTGTTGTTACAGTAAATAAAACAGCTCATACCTTATTTTTCCAATGTCACCAGTAAGATCCAGGGACATTCATGGTAACTGGATACCCTCCTTTGTGCTCTGCTGTGCATGTTGTGATGAAGAGTGCTAAGTTTAGAGTGGGACACAGAGGAGCCCCCACTCTGCTGACGAAGGAAATGGCAAGCCGAGCGGAAGAAAGCTAAACTTTAGAATAACATAAAGCTGTTGTGCATCTCAGTTTCATATTTGCATTTAATATATTTGACTCTGTGATGAGCAGAGATCAGAACATCTGGAGTTCCACAACAGTCTGGTTTGATCAGGTTCTGGATCTTTACGGACACGTGACGTGTCCTTACATCAACAGCTTTGTCCTTTTCCTTAAAAACGTCAAATGTACATCTTTCATTTGAAAGGCTACGTTTAACAAAACATTTCTTAGAACCAAGATTCATCTGCTGGGTACATCTGTCAACAAAAACAGGTTGTTATAAATGTGCAGAACTGGGAACAAAAGAAAAACACAAACCGTACATGAACTGTGTATATTTTACTACTAACTATTCTTTACTTTTTCAGGCCATGACAGTTTGAATAAAGATTTATTGAACTGGTCCTGTGTGTGTTTTGGCAAATATGTCAGATAATATTCAAGATTTATGGCTTTAACCCTTCTTGGCTACACAACACCTCAAAACGTTGGTTACGTACTGTAACCCCAGATTCTATGAGTATAGGCGTTGCCCTTTAAGAGCTGTTGCTTAGTGAGTTTATCCCATCATGCGAAGCATTGCACTGAAAAATTTAGTCCACGCCCACCTGCTGTGTGGGCCCCACCCGGTCCGTATAAATTACGTTAAGAGCGGGTAATCAGCTCCCAAATAGCTTTTTCTTCCGCCATTTAGGAGCCAGTGAGGCCCAATGCTTAAAGGGCTACGCCTATACTCATAGAATCTGGGGTTACAGTACGCAACTAAAGTTCTATTTCGTATAGGCTTCGCCCTTTAAGAGCTGTCGCTTAGTGGGTTAAGTGCAAAGCAGATGTGTTCCTCGCCTCACTGGGTCCATTCGAACACCATACGAAGTGGCAGCTTGCCCAAAAAATGTCTTGTCACTTAGCTCTCCATGTGCGTAATTACGATTTGCGTAATTATGTGTACCATGCACAGACGCATGCTGTGTAGTTATGCGTTCTGAATGCATGAACACCCCAGAAACTTTCAACGGGGAAAGGAAGATGCTGAAAAGGGGCCATGAATCAACAGATTCACGGCTGATCAATATGAACAGATTAATAATAACAAGTGAGCTGATTGTTAATCAAATGAACTGATTGGTAACAATAGTCATGAACTGATTAGTGACAATAGAACCAAAATAACAGTCACAACTTGTGACTGATAACATCTCACACTGTAATGCATGCAGTCAGATGTGAGTTTAAACGGGGTTCCCTGAAACAACAATATTCATTCTGTTAAAACACTAAGGAACAGAATGTGTCATTGAACGAGCCGTCACATCACGTAGATAGAAGTGAATAAATGAGCAGGGTGTTGACCACGCGGCCGCAGTGCAAATATCCTGCATTGTCATACCATTATGCAGAGTAGTCGAAGATGCGATACCTCGGGTCGAATGCGCCCTGAGGATATCAAGAGGCTCTAAATCTGATGCTCTGTAGGCTTCAGAAATGGCCTCACACAGCCAGTGACAGGCGCTGGGTGGATAACGGGCGGCCTACAGATGCATCTCTATAATGCACAACCAAATGTTGAGTTTGACGCATTGC